AAAGGCAAATGCATATTAAGAAACAGAAGAAGCCGGCCTGTTCTACATCAGCAAAGTCTCCGTCCTGCAAAACTGCAACACTGTCTCGGGCTCTGCTTTCAGAAAGTGCAAGAACTCGGGGAGCGATTAAGCTGGTCTTGCCCCTTCCTCACTAGAACAGGACCTTAAACTAAAGAGTCAAGTAAAGGAGCACAAACTTAAATTTAATGAATGCCATCATATCAAGCAGCTCTTCAGTGTTTTCGCCTCCAACTTCAACGGCCGCCTACTTTGCTTTCAGGCTGAATAGCTGATTTTGTGCACTCAGGGTAATGTTTGAGAAGTCCTTGGCGTACAAGCTCTGACCCACATCTTTAGCATAACCGTGTACCGGTTAAATATTCAAACAAAAACCTTCAAATTGCAACAGACAAAATCCAGGATGAGTGCTGCAGCTCAATTTTAGAACTACCCAACAAAATGAGTTTCTGTGAGGGAGAAGCAGGAGAAATGAAAAACTGCCATCTTTTGACAAAGCTCGTAACTTCTCAGATACGGGTGTGGCGAATTTTTAGGAGTGCCTATAAGAGCCCGGTCAGATCTTTTTCCTCTTTCATCAAGTCTGCAGGAGGCTCTGATCAATATTCTGCTAAGGATAAGAAGTTGAAACTTTTATTTTGTTCACAATAAGAACGACACGGAAATCAGGGAGATTCACGAATGTACTTCTTAATACTGCACAGTAGACAAAGGTTTTTCCGTTATATTTCTAAATGGAATTTTGGACCTTTAGAAAATGAACCATTTTCACAGCAAACAGTAAAAGAAGAGTAATTCAACTACAGGACCAGGACGGGATAAAATGTGAGTAACATTCCAAATGTTGGAGTTATCTTTTTGATGAGGGATGCCAAAATAAAATGGATTTCAAACCAATTTAACTTCCCTCCCTCACCTTTGCAGTATGAAAGGCCACTCTGAAATATCATGAAAGCAGATTTGTGGCTACACATTATGACAGCTGGAAAATACAGATAGACTGGCAAACACTGCCACCCACTGGTCAATACAGAGAGCAAACACACATTACCACAACGAGCTACAATACCTACAGAACAGGTAAGTCCCTCTCTTGCTCTGATTAGTAGCCTCTCTGTTCAAAGACGTCAAGACAGTGTAGAAATATTTCTAAGGAAAATATTATCCCTAAAGAATGAGTTGTGAGGTTCCAAAAATATATCATTACACAGTACATTTCTGTAACTCCACATAAAGCATTGTCAGCAGC